TTTTTTTTACCTTCTTTCCAACCAGGTTTTATTTGAATTTCAAGAACTTTTTCATCTTTAACAGCTATATTAAGTTCAGATTTAAATCGTTTACGTGTTATTTTTAATTTTCTTGTTGTACCTTTATTAATTTCTTCTAATGTAACATATAAATCAAAGAATGTTGTTGGATCTTTAGAACGTATTAAATAAGTATTCAATGGATCATATGTTGAATTATTATCAAATGATGAATGAGAATTATCGGTTGAAAATGAATGACGAAAATTAGTATGAGAATCCGTATTGAAATAATAATTTCGAATATCATTTGAACCAAATCGATCATATAATGAACGTTTATAATAATCCGATAATAATTCATAAGCTTCTCGAATATCTGTAAATTTTTTTTCAGCATCAACATCATCACGATTTTTATCCGGATGATATTGTAATGCTTTTTGTTTATATGCACGTTTAATTTCATCAGTAGTAGCTATTCGACTTACACCTAATATAGCATAATAGTCTTTGTTAACCATTTTTTATTATTTATAAAATAAAGAAAACGTTGATTTGTGTGCAAGTAGAGACTTTTTTGTTTTTTTTTTTTTTCTTCACTCGATTCTTCGTATTCCCATCACTTGTATACGTCTGTTATGATGACTTTCATAGCATATGTATAGGGTAACTTTCGTTTTTTTTTTGCAGCAGCAGTTGTATGGGTGACGAGAAGAAAGAAATGTATATGAAGTATTATTTTACCATTATCATTTATTTAAAAGTTTTTTTGTATATTGACACTTTTGTTCAATAATATTTTATTGAAAGAAAAGAAAGTAATTATCAAATTTTTATATTTAGGTAGATTTGACAGAACGATATCTATTTATCTGCATTATATTCTTCGTTTATATATATCAATATACTCAAAGTCAATCACCAGGCAATAATAATCCTGATCGTAGTAAGAAACATTTAGAAGAACTCGAAGAAACTAATGAAGATTTACGTGAAAAAGAATTAGAAAAAAGTATATTTTTCTTTATAAATACAAAAAAACTATTTCATGTATTTTTTTTTTATAGTTTATTCAGCATCAAAAGCACATCAATTTTTAAGTCATGATAAATGTATGCAACGTATGAAATGTCCAGCTAATCGTAAAGAAGAATGTAGTGAAGAATGTAAAGCTGGTAAATAGAAAAGGCTCGAGTTTTTTTGTTAATAATATAACTAATATATTTATATATTCAATAGGTAATACAGAAGAAGAAATTGAAGAACATAATGAATTAACTAGAAGTGAACATCGAAGTTCATTCAGTAGAACACCAAAACAAAAATATGATTCACATAAAGATCTTAAAAAACGTTCAAGTAAAAACAAACATTCATCATCTCATAGTCAATCAACGATTAAAACTGATTTGTAATATTTTATTATTAATCTCAAATTTATTCATATATATATTTTTTTTTTCGATTATAATAACCTTATTTTGTCATCATAGAAAAATTAATATTAGACAATCCATCCAGTTTTCTTTTATTTTTAGTTTATTATAATTGTTAATTTTTAATTTTTTATATACAAAAAAAAAAACAAAAGATAAAAGTGTATCCTCCATAAACAGTAGTTAAATGTTCATAATAAAATAAAAAACAAAAAAAAATTATAATCAATACCAATAACTAAAAAAAAAGACTTCAGACGCTTAGCTTATTACTTGACATATGCGAAACCTGTAGATGTCACTAAATTCCGATAGTCAAGTTTTTATCAACAAAAAAAAAAAATAATTTTTCATTAAATCAGAAAAAAAAAAACATACAAAACATTTTTTATAATCATTTAAATTTTTCTATTTCATTAGAAATCTATAAATTACATGAATGGATAGAAATAACCAAATGAGGGTCTCATGAGACTAATGAATGTTTATTTGTTTACATATTATTTCTTCTATCTTGCATACCTGTCAGATTAAATTATTTATTTTACAGAAAAAAAAAAAAACTATTAATTATTCTTATTCAAAAGATACAATTTAATTTCTATTTATCTATCGATGCAAAATCATATTCTTAATATAAAATAATAATTATGGAAAATGATTATAGATTTCTTACTGATCATTCATATTCAATGATTGATTATGATACATTATCTTTAAAACAACGTACAATGAAAACTAAAAAATATAGTCGAATATCAAATCGTTCTAGTATGAAGAAAATTCTTGATACAAAAAAAAAAGTTTCTTTTCTAAATAGATAAAACAATATCTATTGATCGTAGTTCAAGTGATAAAGAAAATAATGTATCAACATCAACGAATAATATATCAATACCAATAATAAAAACTAAAACAAAATCATCAACAAAAAAAAAACCATCTCGTATTCAATCAAAGAAAAAACAAAATAATAAAAATTCAACAAAAGTATATATATTTCATCCAAAATATATATATATATATATGTTTTTCTTTTGTTTATTTAAGAATAATATTAAATCAACACAAGGTCATATGATTAAAAAGAAAAATTCCATAATATCTAATTCAATAGATACAACACCATCATTATCTATTGAAGAACGTGTTAAATTACGTCGTACAAAACCATTTCAAACACCAATTATACCTTTATTAAATAAAAAAATACAATCGAAATTAATAAAACCAAATAAAACTATAATAAAATCAAAAAAATTTTTTCTTGGATCAGGTCTTGATCTTGATAATATTGTTCTTGGTAATCGTCAACGACGTTCTATAAAAACATAAATATTTCATTTATAATAATTTCTTTCTTTCTTTCGTTCTTTGTATTATATTTAGTTTTCTTTTTTATTATTTGACTATATCATTTATCTATTTAGTAGTGTTCAAAAAACAAGTATCATTTATGTATTTGTATATATATATATATGATGATTTTTTTTTTTTCTCTTTCGTAGACTTTGATTTTTCTTGTATAATGATTATACATTATTTTTCTGTTCATATTAGATCGGTTCTTGTAGAACTAAATTGTGTATTGATGGACAGAGCAAAAAAAAAAGAAAACATAGCAGTATGCATTAAAAGTCAAATTTTTCTTTAAACATATACAAAAATATGAAAATAGAGTAAAAAAAACAATTCAATGCAAATTTTTATTATTAGCGATATAGACAATGTCTTCATCTATCTTGTAGACATTATTGATATGAATACATCATTAACTAAACAAATTTGTTCTCATCGTTTTATTGATCAATATTCTGGTAAATGTCTTCATTGTGGTTATATAAATATATCTATTGAATCATCTATTCCTAAGAATTTTTCTTCACAAAATGATGATAATGATGATAATGATAATAGTTCATTAGAACTTGAACATTATGAACGTTTAGTATTAATACTTGATAAATGGAAAAATGATATGATAAATAATATTGAAACAATATATAAATCAAAATATCAACGTTTACGTGATGAATTTGAACGACAACAAGCTGAAAGACGTCGTATTCATTGTAAACAAACTAAAACTGATAATAATAATAATAATCAAAATGAAAAAATTGATTTAATAAATATAAATTTTCAATTAATTAATTCATCATTTATTGATACTGAATATACATTAATAGCATCATCATCAGAAACAATATTTATACATGATGGTCGTATATTTAAATTATTTGATAATAATCTTAATCCATTAATTGCATTAGATTTAACTAATTCAATGCGTGAACGTTCAAAAGTTGTTGATTTATGTTATGTTACATATTTATCATCATATTTAATATTATATGAACAAGGTTTATGGATATTTCAACCTGGTTCAAATGCTAATTTAATAACATCTATACAACGTCGTGGTTATTTATCATTAACAACAAATACAAAAGATTTATTTATACTTGATATTGATGGTACAATTGAACAACGTTCACTTATATCATGGACATTTTTACGACGTTATACAAAACAACATATATTAAATGATTATATTAATGATCAATTATTATTAATACGTTTTCATTTAATTGAATATACAATATTAATGATTATTATACGTACAACAAATAATCGTCGATGTTTAATGTTATATAAACATTATGGTTCAAATACATTTAAATTATTAGAAAGAATATTATTTCCAAATATAAATATATATACAATATCATCAATACATATATCACATATATGGTTATTAACAACATGTGAAAAACAATGTTTTTTTTTTATTGATAATAAACGTGAATATAATAAACGTGAACAACAACAAATATGGTTTCAAATTGATTGTGATTATAGAATTAAAAATGCTATTGAATTTGGTTCAAATCAACGAAGTATTATTATAAGAACAATACGACCAAGTCAAATAAGACTTTATCATTTTTGATAATTTTCTATTAGTGTTAGAATAAGACTAACAAAAAAAAAAAAAAAAAGTTAAATTTTGTTTTGTTGTTTTTTTTT